AGACAAGTTGGTTTACTAGTTACAAGCATATAAGAAAGTCGAAACTCTGTGCTTATAGTTTAGCAATCTATTACGGGAAACCTTGTACCGAGAAAAGAAGAAACTGTAAGAAAGGAACCGGTAAGAAACTGCAAGGGCTGCTTTTGCACCCTGTTTAATTTCGTACCTACTGAAAAATAAAAAATGACTTCATTGGACCAAAATGTCACTTTCCACCAAAAAATAAAAAATATATAACAGACAAAAAAAGCATAATAATTCATTCGTCAATCGATTTATTAAAAGCTTATTATAGTTACCGTGGTAGTTATCTTGGACAGTAGTCACACTTCCCGTGGATGCAAAATTAAACTTATGTTAAAAAAACTATTTAATTATAATTGCAAAATGTCAACTTGACAATATATATGGAAATAATTATAAAACACGATTGATATTATTGTAAAACTTTTAAGATATATATTTTGGTACTACAGTTCTTAAAACTATGTAAAATTATATATATTAGATATATACTATATTAGAGGAAAAAGAAACATATTTATCAAGGTACAATCATATTATTAAATAATATAAATGTGAAAGTTTGTGAGGATGGATGTTGGTTACTCTCATGTAAAAACTACTGAACGGATTTTGTTGAAATTTGGAATACGAATAATCTTTTACCCGTGGGAAGCGCCATCATACGCTGGTAACATATGTTATATTTACTATAGTGACGCAACGGAGTCGCAAGAACAAAGAACGCAAGAAATTTTAGATGTCCAACAAAATACGAGCCTTTTGCTCGTATGATTTATAAATAATTGATAAATTCACGCCACTTTTAAAAAATATTATTTTCTTGATACTGGCGTGAATTTTTCAATTTAATTAATAATAATCATAAATAGGATTGGTACGTAAGTGTGAAATGAATAGAAGTGTAATAGGTAATAGTTTAGCCATGCCCCTAACAATGAAAATTATATTATATTATTTAATAAGTAGTAGTATTGTAACAGTTTCACGAAATACTAACTTTTATTTAATATGACTTCAATGTCGATACAAATATCGATATCTTGGGTCACGCCCTATGACAATCCGCCATCGAAGAATTTGCATTTGAAGTTTAGGCATATACGCTTTTTTCGTAGGTATGGCCGGTCCTCTTCTTTTATGTCTATGCTGTGACTGGACCCCTACGCGATTGGTTTCTTGTACGGAGTTGACGGGCCGTGTCACAGACTTAGTCGGTATTCTTTTTTAATTCATGGTCTATTTGCATTTACACAATTCCGGCAATGTCACGTTTGTGGTCTTTACACGTATAGAAACAATAATAAAATATGTAAAATTTTGAATTTAAATAAAATAAAAAAAATAGTTCTGAGCGCGTCTATCTGATTACATTTTTAAAGATAATACAAATAGAATGTATATAGAAAACGAAGATATTTATAAATTAATTTATAGAAGATAACTATTATTGATTACAAAGAATTTAGATAAAATTTTGAATGGGCTGGGATTCTCCATACTCAAGATACATTTAATATTTATTGGACGTGGAACTTTTGATGGCAGCAAATCATAAAGCGAAATGGATAAATCATGCCAAATTTAAAATTAAAGACAACCCCCTCTGCGATTGTGGAATTGAGGAAGGAACTACTACTTAGTAGGTATGTATTTTCTTATTTAATTGTCTTATACAATTTAACATTTCAATTTTCAAAAATTAAGTATTTGGAATATAATTAAATAGTATTAAGAATTGTAATTACAATTTCAATAAAATAAATTAATGATCACAAATCAAATCAAAATAATAAATTATTACTCTAAAATTAATCAGACGAAATGAATTAAATCATAAAACAAATTAATCATTACATTATGGTAAAAGTTTTCTAATTCTATTAATAAACAAGTTTCTGTTACAATTAAATATATCAATGTCAGCATTATGTTTAACGCATTCATTATATTGACGGCACAAACGGACTATTGGATTAAAGAAAGAGGTGTTATTGAGATATACATCCAGCGTCAATATCCTTTGGTTACGAAAACGGTAGTTAATGTTGAACCGGATAAGCGAAAGAAGGTAGGGAGAGTCAATATGACCATGTAAAATCCTATGCAAGTGAACAAGATGACTTCGTTTACGATGGCACTCCAGTTTAGATAATGAGAACCTCTTTAGACGTTTGTCGTATGTATCGAATTCTCGAATGAGGTGGTATCTAAAACAAACTAATCTGAGAACAGGTCTTTGAATTCCCTCAATACGGTTAATATGAATAGCATAATATGGGGACCATATAATAGAGTTGTACTCCAGCAGGCTTCGGATGAGTGCACAATAAATTTAAAGTGATGAAACTTTCTGGTTTTTAGCTGGCGGGGAAAGCGGGAAATTCTGATAATGATATTAAATAAAAAACAATATGTTTGTTGTAATAAAGTTTTTTATATAATAAAGTCCTTTTTAATTGTCAACTTTACCGACACAAAATGCCTGATATGCTGGTAATTCGTCACTTTCAGGATTTGCCTGTTATGGGTATGTTGTGTCATATAGCTGGCAATGAGAGAGAGCGGGAAGCACACAACAAGATGGCGTAGTTAAGGCAGTATTTAGAGTATAAGAAGTAAAGTTGTAAAAGCTAAAAATACAAAGATATAACAATAAAACTAAAAGTAGTTTCACTAACAGTACAGGGTATTACCCCCAAAGCACCTTATTATAACTTAGCGTCCCTAGTAGACGAATCATATAATAATATTGTGAAAATCGAATTAATAATTTGATAACTATATATTTATTAAAATAAGCTAGGCACCGAATCGACTCAAATCGGGTCTAATCTGCGTCGACGAGGTTCCATTCGTTTAAAATATATCTGTATTTGACATTTAGATGACTAAAACAAAAAAATTAATAGCAAATAAAAATAATGATTTCACATTGCCCAAATAGATTTTCTCACAGTATGAATTGGAACGTAATTTAGTGATGGGGATGCCATAGATATTCTTAATGCACTTGTGTGTTGCTACATAAATTATAAAATATCCACCAAATCATGTTCAAATAAGAAAATAAACATTTTGGCGGCCACTAAAAATAAAATAAAATGATCATGTGTAAGGTTTACTTATCCTCTATCGATTAATATATACTTTATGCTTGGTTAGAGATAATTTAAATAAAGTACCAGCCTCCATACAAAAAAAGTTCTCCTTTCTAGGGATAAGGAAAACAATCACATATTAAATAAATATATTAATTCTTTTAGTATAGTCGACTTTTATTAAATAATTCGTTGACAAAATATAATAGATTCTTCAATAATCTATTTTTTATTTCCCACACTTACGAAATTTTTTAATGGTCGCATCTTTGAAGTACTAAATAGCTTATTTATTTCGTAGTTTTATATCATACTTTCAATATTTTAACAGCAGCCATGTAATGGAATAACTTGCACAAAAATACAATTTTATTATGGCAACACTCAAAAAAATCATACATAAAATTTCAGTTAAATCATTATTACATTATCTTATTAATATTACATTAAACTCAGTTGATTGAGTGTGCGAGTGAGTTTGTGGTTTATTACTTGTGGTGTTTTGCATAGAAAATTTCAATTAAAGGTCCAAAAAGCAGTTGGAGGGTTTACTTTAAATTAAAAAACAATTGTACAACTGCGAAGTGTAAATATTGCTGCAAAGAACTTAAAACGCACAGTTAAAACGTGCAGCAATCGTTCCTTTACACGTAACAATAAATATCTTAAACTTACGATTCAAATAAATTAAAATTAATTTGAAAGTTAGATATTATAAAAAACACGAAACGGTGTTATATTTATTAGTTTTAGATACTTCATTTACTTTTACTACGTCAGAAACAAAATTTGAATGAATATCATAGACAAGATCCACGCATCGCTAGTGACATCTAGTTTGATTTCAAGAACTAATTTTTGTTTTTTAAACACTTCCTCATTAAATTGTTTTTTTTTCGATCCTCCGGCTGCAGCATTCATAATTTACTCGATACTTTTGATCTGATACCAAGTGATAATAGGGTATTTGACAACAATAAAAATACATTAGAAAATGTGGTCATCTTATAAAATAATAGCGTAATAACACATATTTCATTTTATTTCAAACGACATAATGTATATTTTTTTGCAGAATACACAAAATTAAATTAAATACTTTTTGACATTTTATCATTTACAAAACCGCTTTGAAAGTCGATTTTAAGAAATAAACTTTTATCTTATATTATATTAATATCTAACGGGATGACCACAACACGTAACTTATTTTTAATAGTATCAAATGCCTTATTAGGTAATGTAATAGCTGTTAGTGAGTAAGGGAACTCAATCCAGAGTTTTTTTTTTATTTATCTTCAAGTCACCTAAATAAAAAGTAATATAAATAAATTATGGCGTCTGTTTATAACACACTAATTCAATAATTATAAATGTACTTATTTTTTAAACGTGTAGATTAACACCATGCAATCCGCACTGTGGTAGGTTATCATGATGGCTCATTTTCCTTATTCGATTCCATCCATAGGGAAGGCTTGAGCCCTAGCAGTTAAAAGGCTGATGATAATGACGACGTCTATTTGATATTTACATATATTATAAAAATAGGTAAATGAAATATTATACAAAAAAATAAACAACTATATACAAGAAAATATCAAAGATCAGGCTGTATACCTAGATTTACTTACTTTAATAGAAATTAAAAACTATCTTTATTTACGAATGTCAATGTCACAGTACGTCACGCGTCGTATGCCAAAGTGAGATTGCCAAGTGGTCGAGTGAAGGACAGAAAAAGTCGAAAATAGTACATTTAGTATCTTTAAGAGACTCATAAAAATTGTTTTAAGGCCTATTACTATTCTGTTATTGAATTTATAATGTAAACGCAATGAGGAGTATAAGAGAGTGCGTCGGGGGGTGAAAGAAATGTCGATAGAATACGTTCCGGTAAGCGAGGGCGAGCAAGATGAGCCCATCGAATTGCCGACAGAGGAGGATGGCACGCTGTTGCTAAGCACAGTTGCCGCCCAGTTTGCAGGTGCTAGCGGTCTTAAGTATCGTGCGGGTGGACGCCTACGGGGCGTACGCCAAACCGACGATCGTCTGTCTCCGCCGGGCGAAGGCTGGTCTGCACATCGCTACTGGTGTGCTTTTCCGCGCACTGAGCCTACTCTATCTCCACGACCGCGATGTTCTGATCTTATAGTGCTTGGTTTACCATGGAAAACGGGAGAGGAAGCGGTACGAGAGTACTTCTCCACCTTCGGAGAGTTACTCATGGTGCAAGTGAAGCGCGATGCAAAAACGGGCCTATCTAAAGGTTTCGGTTTTATAAAATTCGCAGAATACGAAGCACAGGTGCGTGCACTCGGGCGACGACACATGATCGACGGCCGCTGGTGCGACGTTCGGATTCCCAATGGCAAGGATGGCGGCGCTACCGCCCACCGTAAGGTGTTTGTAGGCCGGTGTACCGAGAGCCTTACCGCCGACGATCTTCGTGAATATTTTGGTGCATTTGGGCAAGTGACCGATGTGTTTGTTCCACGGCCTTTCCGTGCATTCAGCTTTGTGACTTTCCTAGACCCTGAGGTGGCACAATCTTTATGTGGGCAGGACCACATCATCAAAGGTGTGTCTGTAAATATCTCAACGGCATCTCCGAAACGGGAACGTGGCACACGAAGTTCGCACCTGTTAGGATGGGGTCTAGTAGAAGGCGGCACGCGTGTCTTCAACTGGGCTGGCGACTGGCCCGCCGCAGCCCACGCCCCGCCTCCTGTGCCGCCCACCCTCGACACCAAGTCCTACCTCAAATATGACTAAACCACCTGTACAAATTAAAAAGAGACTAGAGAAGTGTTATCAGAGACTCTCTTGTTGAATGCTGTCAAATTTTATATAAATCTAAATGTACATATTGAATATAGATTGAAGTTGTCTTATTGCGATTTGATTTTATATGCATATTTAGATAACCTGGCTAATAATGATTTGATACCAGTTTTGACATCTCTGCATTTGTGTGTGATGAGCTTTGTTGGTGCAGTGGTTAGCGCGCTCGATCTGCAATATTGGATGACCAAATATTTACCGAGCTCCTCCATGCTTTGGAAGCAGGAAGCAGTTAAGCCTTGGCTGCATTACTAGTTGTTAACAAACACCAATCTGCATTTGGCCACATGTTAGGTCATACCTATTTAAATGAGTCGATTCCATCTAAAGGGAAGGGCTGACTCCCAATAGTGGGGATATTAATAGACTTGTGGTGATATCTCTGCAGGCAATTTTTTTTTCTCATTATAGATACTATAGGGCTTCATTCTGCAAGTGGCGGGCGCCCGCAGCGACGTGAATTGGCCTGTTCTCGACACCAATGTCAGATTTATTTATTTGGTTCTAGAACACCAACAGTGCATTAATAGATACTATTTTAAATTATAGATACAATTTATGTAAAAACAATGTGATTGCTGTTTTTCTTGGCAGTGTTGACCAAATATTGTGATTTTGCTGAGTAAAAATAAAGTATATGTATGATATTGTAAATGATATGGACTTGTTCCGTTATACATGGAAATTTTGCCAACATCCCGTAGTGAGAAGGTATATTAATTAGATGCATATTTTTTTTATATGATGCCAAAGTGTCAAAAATGTCCCTTCCATGGATGTGATATCTCTAAATTTATGAGAAAAAACATGCTCTCTTATGTTACTCTCATAAATACTAAAATAATAGGGATGACGACTGGGAAAAAAAAATGTAATTCTATTGAGTCCGTCAGGCAGGGCTCTGAAACGTTATTCAAAATAACGTTTTTAAAACGTTTCTTATGGTTCTTTGGGCAAGATTGCGTTCGAAACGAAAACGAAATGAAAACGCTTTAAAAAACCGGTTTAATCCGCAAGACGGTGCCGCGCGGGCTGTAAGGGCGGCGTACGTTTATTTTATTACGTTATTTACAGTATGCGATGCAAAAAAACGCAAAATAAATGGTTAAAAACGTTTTATTAACCGAAAACCATATAATTCTGTTTTTTTCCAAAATCGTTTTTTATATCGTTCTGTTCGAACGAAACCAAAACAAAGTGTTTTTTTAGGTATTTCAGATGAAAACGTTTCGAAAAATATACCGGTTTCCGACCCCTGCCGTCAGGCAGATAATAGAAAAATATTAGATATGTATTTTTTTTTTTACTTCAAATAACTAGAAATAGCTTACACGACAGGCATTAAAGTTGAGGAGCGGGGGCTCGCTACGTCACAGTTTTGTAGAAAACTTACCATAACGTGACGTCATGCGAAATTTCAACTCCATGTATCGCCTTAATTTAGTGATTACGAAAAAAAAAATACGTGTTTAATATTTTTTACACTCTACTAGACGGACAAAAAAATAGTCGTCACCCTATTATATGTACCAATATGAATTTAATATTTACTATTTAAATAATAAGATGCAATGTCTATGGTTATACATAATTTTTTTGTCCCTTCCATGCGACATTGTCACGTCAAACGTATTTAACCGTATTATAATAACTTCCCTTTATATTATTTTTCTCTTTGGTATTAACACTGGACCAATAATGACGCCTTTCAAATTATACCGGTCTTTGTTCATTCAATCAGTGTTGCGACTCTAATAAATAATTCCTACTAAAACTATTGACAGATAGTTATTTGTGATATTTATTAATCTTATTTTAAACTAAGGTAATCATTAATGTGGATTAAATTGAACTCAACACTATCCATATAATTTCCTTAAAGCTACTCATAAGGAATACAAGTATCGGGTTGGCTGATAAGTAATGAGAGTTTTAATTTTTGTTTTCTAGAAACTTTGTATATAAAGAACGAGTCGTGATCATGCACGCCCCCTCGGCCCAAACCTTGCCAGAGGCAAAGTGTGTTATGTATGCTAACATACATGCAAGCGCCAGTGGCTACGCCGCAACGAACCAGGCAAACCTACGCCAAAAAAGATCTTCATCCTCGCTAGGTGATGCTCTATATAATCACACCAATACACAATCACAGTGAACGTGCCTCACAATCACAATCAACTAGATAATCTGAAGCTTGAACTTCATCGTAAGCGTCCACAACATGACAAAATATTTTTCCTCCATGGTAATGCCCGACCGCATATTGCTAAGATTACCCGGCAGAAACTATTGGAACTGAACTGGGAAATAGTTCCACATCCTCCGTATTCACTGGATTTTGCGCCAACAGATTTTAGTTTATTCCGGTGACTTAGTAATCATTTGCGTAAAAAAAGCTTTCATGATGAACCCCAGTTACAACAGTACATACCTAGATGCCTTTTTCAAATCGAAACCGGCAAAGTTTTACAGAGACGCAATCCAATCTTTGCCTAATCGCTGGCGTACATTGGTAGATAACGATGGCGAATTTGCTATTATTTCATAAATAAAAATTTAAGTTAGCATCATTATTTATTACCCAACTTGATAATTACCTACTTACCTCTCTGAAACAACTGGTTGCTTAAAAAACGATATTTCGTTATTTAATGTTGAAATTTATTAGTCTCCCTTGCCAGTTGTCTCCATCGTCCAGTAGCACCACACCTTCACCATAAAGGTTCCTACAACACCTTATCTTATAACTCACGGTGTGGGAAGAAAGATCCAGCATTCAGCAAGGAGCCCGCCGGATCTTACCCCCACTTCTGGGCCCTATAGGACCCACCCTCTTGCGGGCTAGGAAAAGACCAGGGTACCTTGCCGCCACAGAAGGAGGGGGTGCGCCTCCCCCTTCCCGTCCGCGCTTGTAGAGAGTAAATAAAACATTAGTGCTGGACGCTGGAATGACAATAAGGTTGTGATAATAATGTCTAATCAGTTTATAATCTATCCACTCTAAAAAGCAAAAAGATACTTGGTAACAACTTATAAAAAAAAAAAAATTGAATCGTTACCAAACAGAACACAAAAAGATGAGCCTTGCGATTAAATAAGACTGTTAAGATTTGCTGCAAGTACCAAGTGTATATCACAAAAATTGTTATCGATCTCTTGTAAATTACTTTTATTTCATTTATTACATTTGATTAAATGACATAAGTTTAAATTTTCTGACAATTTAAACACTTTTAATCGGACCTACTGCCAAGTTTGTGTTTGTGCACAAAGGGCACACGACACGTTACACTGTTGTTATCGACACGTTAAAAAAATACATATACAATACTTTGTGTGAAAATATAGATTAAATTCATATACTAACATTGAGGGCCAACCAACACACGGAGCTGAAATATTCTAATTTTCAAGCCTTTGTGTTATATATATCAGTCGCTTGATAAGCTTTATAATTTATATACGAACATATAATGGGTATGTTCCGATATACACTGCGAGCACTGCGCAGTGGTCTTACTGCTGAAAAATCCGTTCCGTTATGGACTGCCAGTACACTGCTACAGTACCCTAGGGAAATTTATGACGTCATGAATTGCCGCCATATTTGTACTGTGAGCACTGGAGGTTTCGAGGTAAGGTGCTCGCAGTGCTTTTGACCACGTGATCAGTCGAAACAGATAAAATAAAATACTTACGTTTATTATAAGATGGATTTAATTGATAAATATTTTTTTTATACAATTTTCCAATTTTATAATATTTTCTTTTGAAAAGAGGGAATCTTTATATTTATATTCACCTTGCATTAACAAATTTGAAAATGGCGCCAAAAATAGGATTAACAGTATACTGGACTGCGTTCCGTTTTAAAAAGTCACCAGTATAACTAACTATAAAGGAACGGGCTTCCAGTATACTAAATTGACGTCATACTGTTCAATGGTCGCAGTGTATATCGGAACATACCCAATATATACACCGATGACAAGAACAAACAATAGAGTAAAATTAACTCATTTAGGTTAAAGAAGGCATTTAAACATGCTTAAATAATTATACATCTGGTCTGTGATATGTTGAATTATAATCTATGAATAGTTTGAGTGTATCGTGTCATATGCGTATGTCGATGCCATCTATGCTGGGACAATTTTTCTTCTTCTTCTTTTTTAATTAATGGCTTATCTGCGCATTTCGCACAATTCTGCCAATGTCAAGTAAATAAATTAATTTTTACATGTAAAATGAAAATGAAATGAATGAAAGATGGCGATGATCCACTCAGTCTTTTCGGGACAATTTTTACACACATCGTATTAGTACTGACATATCTACCTTTTTTTATTGTAATATCATTGGCTGCCGGTACTTTAACATGTTTGTTTATGTTATAGTATGTTGATGCAACGCATTTCACAGTCAATGTTTAACCCCCGGGTTCAAATCTACCGGCAACCATCGGTAGTAGCTACCGACCGTTTTTTGATATATCAACAACCATTCGTTTTTGCGTTTCACAATCATCGTTAGGATTCTTAAAATCGACCCAGCCCCGAAACCTATGGTATAATTATTAAAATAATCACATATTGGTTCCTAATTAAGTATAAGTGTGTCAATGGTAATTCTAGTAGTTTCCATCTTGGTCTGTTTTAACTTATAGTGATTGACCCAGCGAACTTCATACCGCCTTATACCCGTTTTACAAAAAATCTTATATACAAACCGTGTCATGAATCGTGAAACATATAAAAAATAGAATCACCAATTTGGTGCAGTCGGAACTGCAATACGGAAGTTATGCGCGTACATACGTTTCGGCGATTCATTTTTATTCATCGACATTTAATAGCTCGTCCGGTCATTTTTTTATTTTTCGATATCTCATTAGTTCCTAATTTTTTTGATATAGGGTAAAAATTTTGATC